CACCATGACATGTTTGGTCTCCAATCATCAATGGAGCTTGGGAGCGCCCGACGTGCAATCAAACTCCATCGATGCAGACTCGTGTAGGTATCCGTAGTGAACATCTTCCTGCGGGCTAACGTAAGGTTGGGCCCAAAACGGGTTCCTCCACACCTTTCAACCGTCCAACGTTGTGTCCAACGACTCGAACCGGTCGCTCCTTCTGGACGGTGCATTCGCTCCGGCCCTGTGAAATGTCGTCGTGTGATGGGGATTCAGAAACCCTGATGTGGGTGATCACACCTCGTCTCGAATTTTCTCTCATTTGAGATAGGCAACTCTGCAGATTGTCTCCCTCGGCCGATTGGTTTAGAGACAATACCGACCGAATTCGCCCATTGAAGGAATCCGAGGGAGTACATTAGAAAGAAAGAAAAAAAGACTGGGCTAAGTACCGTAAGGTACGTGCCGTAGCATCTTAGGCGAAGGGAAGGGACGAGGGGAGAAAAAAAAAAGGTGATGTATCACGGGAGATTACCACATTGACGTCACCATGCGGTGTCCCGGCTAGCAGATCACTTTGAAGGCACTTGCACGCCTCGCACTCTCTCTCTCTCTCCCAGAGTCCCAGCGGCCCAGACATCCCACACACCTCCCCCAATTCTCCTAGCGTCTAAAACGACCCGGAAATAAGGGTAATGTGTGATACGATACCATACCTTTTACCTTACCGCTGACCGTCGAAAATCGACGATGGCGGGGACGGGGGGAGTCGGTAGAATGTACCTTCATTCGTAATGGTGTCACCGCTCTGCTGTGATGTAAGGTGTGTCTGTTTGGCAAGTCACAAGGGGGTGGGTGGCCTTGACGTTGCGCATTCCGAGCTGCTTTGGCGTTCAGTTTGTATATAAGACCCTTTCTTCCTTTTCCCTCTACCTCAAAAAAACTTCATAGTAGCTCATCACATCACCACCAACAAACAAACAAACACCACAGGCACCTTCGAGGTTTCTCTCCCAACACATCTACAACCAATCCACCCTCTCAAACAAACCATCACAACACCGCAAAAATGGGTGCCGTCGTCTCTTGTGTAAGTCATCATTCCTCTTTACACTAATTCTGCTGGAAGAAATTATAAACTGACTTTGCTTCCCCAATAGGTCCAATCCGTCTTCCGGACCATCGGCAACTGCCTCACCTCCGTCATCTCAGGCATCGGAGGCATCCTCCACGCCATCATCGGCGGCATCGTCTCCTTCTGCAACATCATCATCAGCTTCCTCACCTGCGGCTACTGCGGTCGTCGCGGCGGTGGTGGACGTCGCCACAAGACTACGACTAGAAGTCACGTCTAAGCCGTCCTTTCCGTCCCAAATCACACACACACATGAGATGGAAGGGGTTGAGCCAATATGATTGATGTGCGACCCCAACTCGAATACTTTCGCGATTATGCATTACGAGGGGAGGGCGAGGGCGTGAGGAGGATGAAGATTAATGGAGAGCGCGACGCGAATCAGGCTTTGACAGCATACCCCCCGACGAAGCTTTCTTTTTTCCTTACGATACCCAGATACCACTAGCTTAGCTTGAATGGTATAACAAGATATCCGCAAACAACTATCGTTCCATTGTGATATTGGGTCGCTTGTCCTCTGGCACCTTCCGCGTTGGCGCTTGTGATGTTGTCAAGGCTTTGCTGCAACCGCACTAGGTTTGCGCGTTCACATCTAAGGAGAAATTGAGAGACGGTATTGATCCCAAGGTATTCAAGCGGGCTGAATTATCGCGGCAAGCTCGATGTTTAGCATGAGAATCGAAGGTTAACATCTCTCGACCGACTGCCATGTCCACAGGAATTATTCGCAAAAACAGAAATCTCCTGTTAGCACACTTGCTCACTTTGGTATGATACTTAATCTTCCAGTACATTACGGTTAAAGAATCCACACACCTGCCGCCCAGATTCCTTTCCAATCATCGGCTCCAGCTCTCTCTCCGTCAAGTTGGCCACCTCCCGCAAATTCTCCGTCGCCAGCACAAGCCGCATAATGTTCTTGGGATTGATCCCCGGCACAGCACCCAGCATCTCCTGCGGCTCCAGGTTAAAAACCTGGTCCTCGGCCTGCATATCCTTATCGAGCCCGGCGCGCACCGCGGCGATCGGATCCGGCTCATCCTCTTGCGCCTTGAGCGACTCAAAGATCTCGGCCGTCTGGTACGGCGAGGACGACCAGATGATACGCAGCGTCGGGAACGCCAGCGTGAGCAGGACGAGCTTGGACTGCAGGTCCGACGAGACGTTCGTCGGCGCGATGCTGTTGAGGCTGCCCGACAGATCGGCAAAGGGCTCCAGCGTAAAAGACCTGTTCTGGTCGAATTCGATGAGGAGCATGGCGCTCTTGTAGTGCTGGAACATGGTCTCGCACTGCGCGTAGAGGCGGCCGTCCTTGAAGGAGGAGATGAGATCGGAGATGGACTTGCGCTCGACGCAGATGTTGGGCGAGAGGACGTAGTCGCCGACCGTGAGCATGCAGGGGACGATGATCATGGACCGGCCGTGCAGGAGGGACGGCAGCGAGGAGCGGAACTCGCGCACGTCGACGACGATGCGGGGCGGTTGCGCCGTGGCGGCGAGACGGCCGCCGCCGGCGATCCTGGTGTTGATTGTGCGCAGGAAAGCCTCCTGCGGGTCTTCGGCGCCGTGGGGGTCGACCGTCATCACCAGGGACATGGAGGCCCGCTCCTTGATGAGCTTCGTAAAGGCATCCTTTTCGCGGCGCACGCTCGACAGGTACCGCTGCTCCTCGACCGACTCGCCGTAGTACATAAAGTAGACCCGGACGTTTCTGTCGTTGTGGGACGACCGGTAGACCTCGACGCGGCGGATGAAGGCGGCGTCGGGCTCGTACATGATGATGTACCGGGGCTTCACCTCCTCCAATACGTGCTCGTCCTGGTCTCCGTCGTATGCGTGGATGACGACCAGGTCCTGCATTTCGTACAGCTGGAAAAAGTCCTCCATATTCTCCAGGGGGTCGGTGACGATCTCCGGCTTTTGGTCCGCTTCCTCCTCTGTGATTTGCACCTCGGCCATGAGGTCTTCGACATCCGTGGGCTTTTCAAAGAATTGGAGGATGCTGCCGTTGTCGGCTCGCCCCTGGGCTGTTCCAGCCATACCGCCGCCTCGCATGCGCCTCCGCTTGTTCGACGGTGCCTTGCCCCGAAGCCGTTGGCCGTTACGATCAGTGGCGCCATTCAGAGCCTTTTGGTTTTCGGAAAAGAGCGTAGCGTTGACCTGGGCAAATTCCCGTTTCCATCGTAGATAGTTGCGCAGCTTCCGCCTCATCATGAAAGCTGCTGATGCCGAGTCTTCCTCGTCATCTTCTTTCGTCGGGTCTTTCTCGACTTTTGGCTTGAAATACATGGTCTGCAAGTAGTCTCGGAGTTGCCTGCAAGTATTTGTATCACCACACATGATAAGAATGGTGCTGTTGGAATCGTCGCGGGCCGGAGGGTCAAAGTGCATGCTGTTGTCAATCTCAGTCAAGACGTCCGCCAGCCAAGCCCATTTCGGCTGCTCTTCAAGAACAGGGCGAAGTGAGTCAATATTCGCATCTGCTGTTGCAGCTTTCGCGCTGGCAGAGTAGACTCGACGGCGCGCTGTCTCGAAGATGGTCTGCGCTGCGTCAAGGAACAACCAAGGAGACTGGTTTTGCCTCGTCGACCCCGGAGGCGGCGAATGTGCTGCATGGATGGTATCTAAATGTTGCAAGAATGAGACGGCGTCGAGGGAAAGAACGGACGAGAGCATGCCACGAAGAACGCTCAAGTCGTTGACGATCTGTCGAGTCTTCCAGCTAACTCTGTGCCAATTAGGGTCGAGCTGCCTTCTGATGATCACGTCAAAGTTCTTATGTAAGGCACTGTCGAGGTTCCAATCCTCCATCTCCAGGCCCGTGTTGCCTTTCTTCAGCTCATGGATGCTGACTTCAACACATTCAAGAATTGCATTTTGAATATCTCGCATGGGTTCGCTCATTGAGATGTTCAACTCAATCACCTCTGCCGTTTTCTTGCCCTCCAGAGACTCTGCCACCGTCACGTGGAAGCGTGGCCACAATGACGCCTTTCTTAGAAAGAGGTTCCTCATCATAGTGGTCAATGGCGAGAAGCCGGTCGAGAATGGATCGGGATTGTCGGCGAACGCCTTGAGGAAGCCGGCCTTGTTCTTTTGTCGATAAATCCGCAGAATGAAAGCCTCAAGCGACGTGGCCACGACGCGATCGGCGTGTAAAACGATGAAGCCGGTGACTTTCTCGGTGTCGAGGAGATTCGTCAGGAGGTCGACGACAAGGATGCGCGAGGTGATGCTAAAGATGCCACCGCGGGTATACATCTTTTCTCTTGCGCCAACACTGGTGAAGTCAGTGTTGACGACCGTGAGCCCCCTCGCGTTGGGCGACTGGCTGATTGCGGCATGCTCAGCCAGGGCTTCTCCAATCCAATTGTTTTCGCGATCCTCGGCCCCAACGAGAATAATTAGGTTGTTTCCTGCCGCATCGTAGGAATGAAGCAGGTTTGTGACGAGCCTCACGAGCCCCAGCCCACGGGCGAGGACGACGAGCTCATCTTCATTCCGCAGCTCCTGGAAGAGGCTCTGCTGGTATTCCTGGAAGGGTTCAGTTTCATGAAGCACATGAGAATTTATATGAGGAACTTACAAGAGGAAGAGAGAGCTTGACCGGCTGAGCGTTGGTTGACATGGTGCATCGTGGCTAGCTGTGGGCACCGAGTGTGGTTGAAAGCTACCGGGAGACATGCTTGGATCGATCATGACTGGATCCGGACTGAGGTCACCACTTAAGATTCCCTGGGTGCCGCTGAAATACAGTGCCGCGCACAGTTGAAATAACCCAGACCATACAGTGTTATATAGTCAACACTCACTGTACGAAATCAACACAACTTCAAGCAAGACGTTCAACTTCAGGAAGTCAGATGGCTATTTATACCGCGGCTGCTACTATTACTTTATATCATCTGAGAGAGAGCGAACTCATGGGAAAAGCACTCTCGGACAATTAGGTACTGGCTCCTCTCAGAAATGGCCATGGTCAACCGAGCCCAAGAAACTATTGTTCGAGACAAGGTGCACGCGCTAACATGTAAGCTTAGAACGTCCCGGCGATGGGTGTTAGTCCAGTCACTTGCCAAAGACATGGCTGGGCACAGTCGAAGCAGGTGCCTCGAGAATCTTGCTTGTAATCTCACTCGGAATCTCAACGCCCACCAAGATGATCTCGAGTTTCGTACTCTACCTACCTTATTTCACTTGCAGACCAGTTGGCTCCTAGAACCACCCCCGTGGTCACTAGAACAAGACATCTTGGGATCTTCAACAGCAATCCTGAATAGCGCCAACACCGCATCGAATCGACAAGACTCGGCAACGATCACTGGTAGATGCAACCGTGGGGTTATGGAGCATGGCGTGCTTGTCACTGGAAAGCCGGTCGTCTTCTGTCAAGTTTTTGGTCCATCCTCTTGCACGTTAGCGGCCCTCGTGATATGCACGCAATTCGCCGGTGACGCGCAGGAATCTGGCCAGCATCTTCCCATCCAGATACGCCAAGATCAATGGCTGTTGAAGGGGCCCGGCTACGGGCGGTACATGCAGAGAGCCAATCGCACAATCAAAAGGCAACAAAAGTGTCTTTGCATAGGAGGCCTTCCAGGTAAGCGGGGATGTTGCTCGCGGGGATGTTGCCCGCGGGGTTGTGACTGCCTCTACCCCTCTGCGGGCGGGACGACGTCATCGGCCGTCGCAACCTTCCACGTACCGCAGCGACATGCCTCAACTCACATGTAAGCCACCAGCAGAGATAGTTTATAAACAGACCATTGCCCTACTCTTGCTTGCTCCTGCTTTGACTACTCATCACAATACCGATTCATCAACCCACCAAAGACTCTTCAAACCAAACCACCCAAGCAACCAAACAATCTTTCAAAATGGCCGACAAGGTTAAGGAGCTCGTCAACAACATCACCAAGGGTGACGTGAGTAGCATCTACCCCTCATTCGCAACCCAAAGCTGCGAAGCTGACACCTTTGTAGAACTCCGACAAGGAGAAGCAGTTCAGCACTCAGCCCATTCAGGAGAGTGGCAGTGGCGACCCCAAGTTTGCTGCTCACCAAGCGCACCCCGGCCCTGCCGTCCCCAAGGACTTCAACGCTCAAGAGGAGGGAACCAAGGAGGAGCGCCGAGCCAAGGCGGAGGCTTTGAACAAGTAAACCAGCACGACGATTAGGCAGCATCTTTCGCGGTGCATGACCTTGTATGACCAGTTACGAATTGTAGACTATGGGAAACGAACCGAGCACGGAGACTCGGGAATTGGTCGGTGAATAAAGCCATCTTAATACTACCAATACATTCATGAATCAAATCCCACATAACCTGACACCACTGATATGGGCTGGGTTCCCTTGGCCATCAAAATCGCGCAAGCGTAAACGAGTTGAAACGTTGACTGCAATACCTTTTGGTTCAGTGAGGATATGGTGAGGATGGATCAGAAGGCAGCGTAGTTGGACTGTTCGTGAAATCTTCTGGAGATCGTCAAACACCTCTATTCCCATCGTTAGTATCTTCGGAAAGCAGTAATGCGACCTTACGCTGCACGTTGCGCGTCCCACAATGACGACAGACTTCCTCTGCGTTCCACGTGGCGGTGCAAACACACTTAGTGTGGCTGGTGCCAGTGTTTAATACGCGGCAAGGACAATCCGACAAGCGAGAGACCGGGGCCTGAGCAAATGGCCAGACGCCCGAGCAGCGCCCGAGAGAGAGAAACATCCCAGCCAAAGTCCACTGAAACGAACGACTCAGCCACCAGCCCGCCGTGGCCAGGGCCGGTTACGAGTTCCGCCCAGCCCACTCACCAACCTCCGCTGGGCGGGCTGCGTAAGGTAGGCCCAGTGGAGGAGTCTTTGGGCGGTCATTCTGTCCCGAGTGAGTCCAACAATCGTACGCCATTTCATCTCCCATTCTGTCAGGTCCCAGACTTGCCGATTATCCCATCCATTCGCACACTGCACGCACACACACCATCTCACATACAACCACCCGGACCTCATCCTCAACCGGCACAACCTTCTCCTCCTTCAGCCTTTCCGCAAGCCCAATTACATGGTATTTCAGGGTCCCCCCGTTGAGTGATGCGAGTCCACATTTCATGAAACGCCCCCGGACCCGGAAGCTCTGGCATCTTTGACCACACTAGCTGTACCTTTCTACCGTACCTGAGGTGCTGCACCAAGTACTGTACGCTGTACCTTGCTGCCTCCAAACACCGACAAGCGACGGCACTTGGTTGACTTGTCTCGGGGTCCTTGTCGTCCTTGCTACCTTACCTACTGAAAGCGATCAACCCACGAAGCGCCATCCCGAAAGAGGAGGTGTCTGTTTGCTCAGCCCATTCACCAACTACTAAGCGCCACTTGCCATCGCCTACACACGCGTACAACGCAAACCACTACCGCCAAACGTGGCTGCTGCCTCTGCTGTCGCGGCTCCTGCAAGCACACGACCCATACAACCACTCCACCTCGTCCCAATTCCAATTCCACCTTGATTCAACTACATACGAACAACGACACCTCGCCCGATCGATCCCACCGAACACTCTCCCCTCCCCTCCCCTCCGGCGACCCCTCCTCTCCCTGCCGCCACCATGCCGTCGATATTGAGCGACGGCGATAAGGAGACGGTCAAGCGCTTCGTCCCCAAGCAGACCAACAAGATCCAGGCCGTAGCTGTTGCCAGGCTATACGTTGCTTACCCCAACCCCGCGAGATGGACACAAACAGGAATCCAGGGCGCCATCGTCCTGTCAAATGATCTCGTCGGCAACACATACTGGCTCAAGATGGTGGATATTTCAGTGAGTGACTGCGCTCTCGGCGCCTCTTGCAATTTTGGCTGACATGCTCAAAGTCTGGAAACCGCGGTGTCATCTGGGACCAGGAAATATTCGACACGTGGAGCTACAATCAAGATCGCACTTACTTCCACAGCTTTGAGATTGAAGAATGTCTCGCCGGCCTCTCCTTCACCGACGAGAAGGAAGCGAGGCAATTCAAGAAGAAAATGGACGATAGAGAAAAGAACGCAAGCAGAGCCACGAGATCGACACCATTTGGAGGTGCCTCCCAGGCTGCCGCACACAAACATGGTTTACTCGGAGGTCTCTTTGGTGGCCGACATGCTGCAGCACCTACCCCTCCCGACTCCCCGCGGTCGAACCTGCCACATGGCCGTATGCCTCCTCTGAATGGTGGCCATAAATCTTCAGAATTCGCTGTTCTTGATGCCTTCGACCCTCAATGGCGGGAGAATTTCGGCCAAGATCTCCGAGACAAGGGACTGACGGATGAGTTCATCAAGGAGAACCAAGAGTTCATTGTCGAATTCTTGAAGGAGGAGCAAGAGAAACTAATGGCTGGCGCTCGGAGTCATGCTCCTCCTCCGCCTCCTCCGCCAGCTCCTCATACAAATGGTCTTGAACTTCGAAACGGAAGAGCGCCTCCTCCACCGCCTCCTCCAGGGGGAAGTCATTCAGACGGCCCACGCCTACCACCGCCTCCGCCCGCACCCAGGCGCGGCGCAGCGCCGCCTGCACCCCCGCCTGTCAGGAGGTCAGGAAAAGCAGAGACGCCTGCTGTCAATAGAGAACCGACACCCCCGAGCGAACCTCCAGCGCCAGAAGCATCAAGAAGTCGATTCGCTGTACCGCCTCCTCTACCAGATGCCGGCAAACTCGCACATGCTTTGGGAGGTTCAGTCAACGCCATACGCGGTGGGCCAGCAAACCCTGGGCCCCCTCCTCCACCACGACCACCCAAAACGCCAATGCAGGAGGAAGAAAGGCCTGCTGGTCACAAATTCGGCGTACCGCCCGCATTTCCCGGGGCAAGGCAGGGCCCACCACCTCCGAGTCGAGGACCTGTCCCGCCGCCGCCGCCCCCACGTTCGGATGGCCCGCCACTTCCTCCGAAAGCTCCGGCGTCAGAGGCACCACCGTTGCCGCCCCCGTCTTCACGACCTGTGCCACCACCTCCCGCGCTTGGCAGTCCGCCTCTGCCTCCTCCGCCGCCGCCATTGCCATCATCAAGCTCTCCTCCTCCGCCGCCTCTCCCAACATCGAATGCTCCCCCGCCGCCGCCATTGCCCTCCTCCAATGCACCTCCGGCTCCTCCTCTACCTCCGTTAAACAACGCGCCGCCTGCGCCCCCTCCGCCGCCGCCCGGAGCAGGGGCAACTCCCCCGCCGCCACCACCACCTCCGCCCCCGGGAGGCTTGGGCGGACCTCCTCCACCACCCCCTATGCCCGACCGAGACTCTGGGTACTTATCTGGTGTTACCGTTCCTCAACCGGACTCTTCGCGCTCGGCCGTCTTGGGAGATATTCAGAAGGCTGGTGGTATCAGGGCGTTGAAGAAGGTGGACCGGAGTCAGATCCGCGACAGAAGCAATGCCACAGTTGGTGGCGGTAGTGACAGTGGTCCCCATGGAAGCGGCCTGCCTCCAGCCGGCGTGGCACCTGGTGGTGGTGGGGACATGGCCAACGCTCTCGCCGCTGCCCTCCAGAAGAGAAAGGAGAAAGTTAGCAGAAGTGGTAAGTAAAGCCCAGGGTGTGCTGCTATTGTACCGTTACTAACGTATCACTAGACGATGAGAGGAGCGACAACGACGATTGGTGAGCGATGTCTGCATGAGGCTCGAGGGAAGAGTATCAAGAAAGCCTTCGGGCCATATCAAACCGGTACCGCAAGTCGAGACCTAGGCTTCTCGGACGAGTTGAAGCAGTATTACATCATATTCGATTCTCGGCTATCCAGAGTGACAGATACACAATTAGGGATTATGCGGGCGGGTACGGTCAAAAAGCATCACAGTTCTTCGGTTGGTCAAACCCAGGATATCAGAGAGATGCTCGGCGTGTCCGCCGCATCTGGAGACGGCAGTAGGGTAGAAATAGGACAATCTTGCTATTATAGCAAGCCCGCTGGCCGCATGTAAGAAATTGGAACCAAACAAATTCAAATGCGTTACGCCTTCTCCCTGTTAAGCAGGCTGCTCGTTCCAGTAGCTGCTCGTTCTGACATGTCACTTTGAGTAAGAGAGGCAAGCAAGATATGATGAACTTTGGCGAGCGGCGCAAAGCCACTGACCAAAATGGAATTTAATTACTCAAGCGCAAGTAAAGAGGTAAGATCTATCGTTCTGATGATTTGACAAGCCATGACGTCTCTCCCACCATGGCCCGTCCAACGCACCACCCTTGACACCTTGACTGTCGCGGAACCCTACAGCCGATAACAGAATGTAACGGCCGCGGGGTTTGAGAGAGAAGACAGCGTTCCCACCTTTCGCCGTCTAGCGATAGGAAAGACGGATATAAAATGAGAAGTGGGAAGGATTCGGGGCATTTTGTCTCGACACTCTGATGTGGAGTGTTGAAGAGGGGGCAACGACAAAGACGACGATTTTTAGATGTCATCAATATCAACCTCCTTCTTGCCGGCACCACCAGCGGCGCCCTCGTCCTCGCTCTCCTCCGAGTCGCGGTCGTCGTCGAACTCAAAGTTGCAGTCGCCGTCGCCCTCGGCGCCGTAGGTATCCGTCTCGTTGATCTTGGCGGACTCGGGGAGCTCGCCGTAGGCCTTGAGGGAGCGGGCCTCGTCGGCGGTGTATTTGAGGATGACGTCGCCCTTGTCGTCCTGGTACTCGCGCAGGGAGAGGAGGATGATGTCGCCCTGGTTGATCCAGACCTTCTTGCGGAGCTTGCCGCGGATGTTGGCGAGGCGCTTGACGCCGTCGAAGCACTGGGCTTCGAGGCGGCCGTTGCCGAGCATCTTTACGACTTGGGCGTATTCTGTGGGAGAGAGGGGGGAGAAGGTTAGTTGTGATGCGCTTTTTTGATTTGAGGTGTTCTGTCGTGGTGATATGAAGTGGCGGTGGGAACGCGTCCGATGTTTTTTTTTTTCGGTTTGGATGGGTAAACTAACCTTGGCCATCCTCCTTGAAGGTGAGCTCACGCTTCTCGTGGTCAGACTCGTTCTTTCCACGCCTGCGGTTCTTTCCTCCCTGTTTTGTTTGTTAGTCTTCATGATCGAACCATCTTATTTCCCATCACCAGTGGCATCATCAACATCATCATCGTCAATGTGCGTCGTGTGTGTATCGAGCAATAGCAAGGAGGGGGCGGGGTTGTTGGCGGGGCGCGCGACTAAGCAGGGGGGAGGGGTGGTTTTCGACTGTCCACACGGCTCCAAAAGAGAGAGAGGGAAATTCTTTTTGGGGGGAGAGACTGGAGGGACAACCAGGCTTGAAGAGGCCAACTTACTTTTCCCTTGTTTTTGGGCATCTTGACTACTCGTGAGAATTCCGGTTCTCAGCGGTATAGGTAGGATGTGAAGGGGGGTGGGTTGGTTGGAAGGGGGAGAGAGAGCGAGATGTCGAAAGGAAGTGCGAAAGTGGGCGGTGGGCTTTATTGTGCGTTTGGAAAGCGCCCCCCGAACAAAAAAAGGTGGTGCTTTTGGGCTTTGGGCTCTGAGGTGTGGCTGTGGTGGGTTGCTTTTTGTGCAGGAGCGGTGCAGGGCAGTGATCTAGCGGAACAGGGGGTCCTGTCGCTGAGGTGGGCTGGCGGCTGCTGCTCTCTGTGAGCCTGTGAGGTGCAATGTGGTTGTGGGTTCTTTTTAAGTGGGAAGGGGCGAATGATGTTGAAACGGACTGGCTCGGTTTTTTTCTCTCTCCTGCAGTGCAGATGAGTCAAGTGGGGTGGGATCTTTATGTGGTCACCGTCACCAAATTGAGAAAGGTGCGCTGTGGCTCACATATCATTTGGGCGTCACGGTGTGTCATTCACCAATCTCCATCAGCCCATTGAATTTGGCTGAGCCACAGTTGGCCTGCCATTTGTGGCTCAAGTGATCCACTTTCTTTTGGTCTAAGCTTTTCTAGACTTACCTAAGCCATTTTGGGAGAGCTTCGCCTGCAATGGATCACTTCTTCGACAAGTCGGAGCTTACCTGCAGATTGCAGATCGCAAATTCGCGCCTCGTCGCCTTTTGAAGTCTAGAGAGCGGCCTCTATGAAGTCGACCTGATCAATAGACTATTTTCTACAATACCATCGGCGGAGCTCACCATCGAGTAATGACTACCCGAGGACCGCCCCCGGCGACGCCCATGCGATGATGCCGATACGACTTCAACATGTCACTGGCACAATGCGAAGACTGCCTCTTGGCACACCCCTAGCGACACAGGCCGCCTGGTTCTCTTCCTCGGGACGACTCGGCCGTTCTGCAAAGGAGCTAAGATGGACACTCGAAAGGCGCCGCCAAGAGAAAGAAAATAAAGATTATTGGTTCGAGGAACGTGGCAGACAGCGCAAGGACAAGATGGACGAGATAAAACGGCGGCTACGCGGCGAAGACTTGAAGGCTTCCAAGGAAGACGCTTCGAAGCTCCCATCAGTTCGACCACACAGGCCACCCCCGCATCCGGTCGACTTCAAGACTTTATCAAAGGAACATTGCTTCAAAAGGATATTCCTTGACCTCGACATTGGGCTGGCCGCCTTGGACTACCGAATGGTGCACCTCCCCGGCAAATTGGATAAATTGTTCGAGCAACTCAAGATCCAGATATCTCCGCGGCATGTCATGAGAAACTGGGACAGGGAGTACTTTGTCGAGACGATGAGCGAGCATCCCTACTCGGTCCTCTACAGGCACAGGTACGAGCAGATGAAGGAGACCATGCCGCTCTGGATTTGGCTGTACGGAGTCACCGCGAACGGAGGCCCACTCGTTGTGAATACTGCCAGGAGGACCATGAGGCGCGAGCTTCACGCTGCCCTGGATGCCAGAGGCTACGACCCCGAGGGACGTCTGAAAAGGCCCAAGTGGGGCACGGGGAAGGGCACTTCCTTGACGGGCGATTTGAAGGGTACGATTGCTCTTACTGCCAGACTCCCCGCCGACGTGGTGAAGAGGCTCCCCAAGGCCGATCTGCGGGCGGCGATGGACGTGGCCGTGGACCGTCTGATTGAACTCAAGGACGCGGAGCAGAACCCGGAGCGGTGGCAACGCGAGTACGATGCGAAGCTGGAGGAGAGAGCACGGGAAGAGATTGAGCGGGAAGACGAACGGAAGCGTCGGGAAGACGAGACGAAAGCAGAAGCGAAGCGGCGGGAGGAGGAATGGCTGGAAGAAGAGTTCCAGAAGGAGGCGGTATGGCGGCAGAGGAGACTGGAGCGGGAAGAAGCACAGTTGCGAATCAAGGAGGAAAGGCAGCTCAGGCGGAAGGAGCGGAGACAAAAGGCGGCTGAGGAGAAGCGCCGGATCGAAGCAGAAAGGCCCCTGAAATCGGGCCAACTCTGGGCATGACGAGGACGTTCGGAGCTGGAGAATGATGGCAGAGAGATGGATATGGTCCCATTATCGAGAGAAGGGATGGGCAGTCTTTCATGATGACAGCCTCGGCTGGAGTCTGTGTAACATACTTCTACAAATGATACCCCCGAATAGAAGCCATTACTTTATTTGAAGAAAGGGAAACGGTCCTTGACTGCCTTTGTTACTGGTATCTCTCATTGCAAGTGGGCAGAGGTCTTTACATCACAGAACACAATCAGGAGAAAGAGTCCGCTACGATAGGGATTTCAGAACATCTTACTGCACCTTAAGCACAAAGGGAAGAAGTTGCAATGGCCCGCAAAGCATCCCATCCTGATATCTAGCGAATGATAAGACGGAATCAATGCCTTAAGTTATAGTAAGGTAAGGTAGATATTGAGGACTGAAGAATGATAACTGAGGTGAAGCACGGGGCAGGTACGTACCCAGCCACCTCAACTCCTTGAAGGGCAGTTGCAGAGTTGCTGGCGACGAATCACATCGTTAGCGCAGAGCTGCCAGCCGAGACGTCTGGAGCTGCCAACCTGGTAATTAACTGTGACTGGCGTTTGTACCTCTCTCGATCCAGCCTATGTGTCTCGCATACACAAGCATCGCTGGCAACAAATTCCTGCTCACCCACCTGGCCACCTCCATACCGAATTCATCGCGATAACCCGCCCTTGGAACCGAAGCGAGACGAAAGGCCTACGGAATCGTCACCCGACCCTGCGCAATTGAACCAACCTTCCCCCCTTGGCCGAAGACGGGAAACACCAACAACCTTGCAATTACGTACCACGCTTCGAAAACCGGGAAGAAGCCTCAACACCAGCAGGCACAGTTCACGATGCTCGTCTCATTGACCGTCGGCAAGGTCGACGCCGGCGTCACGGTTCTTCTGACGCCGGACAAGCGTTTGGTACGTTATATCTCACGCACTCTGCAATCTTGGCGATGAACTAGGGGCAGCTTGCGAGGGAAGCCATATGGGCGAAAGACCCAGCACTCTATCCCCCGCCCTGGCTTCCATTCCACTCATCAATGTCATCGTCGCCTGTTAATAAGACCCTATACTAATTCCAAGCTCCCAGATCGAGTTCCCGTCTATCCTACTCCCTCCCAACATCTCCTCCGGCAGCATCGTCGACATCACCGTCGCCCGTAACCTAGGCTCAGAGGCTAAGACCGAGCATGCATTCCGCGAGCTCCAGGACCGCATCTACTCGTCCTTTGGCGCCAGCTCGCCCACGACACCCGTCCTGCGCTGCCGCAACGCGACCCAGACCTCTGTTGTCCTCGAATGGGACCCCATCGAGCTCGCCACCGCCGACATCCTCTCCCTCTCCCTCCACCGCAACGGCCAAAAGGCCGGCAACATCCCCCGCCCTCTGCAGATGCACAGCACAAAGATTAGCGGTCTTGCTGTCGATACAGACTACACCTTCCACCTCGTCCTGCGCACCACCGCCGGCACCCTCAGCTCCGAAAAGGTCACCGTGCGCACCCACAAGATGACGGATCTCAGCGGCATCACCATCACCACGGGCATCATGCCCCCTGCCACCAGAGAGGCGCTTTCCGCGGCGGTCGACCGTATCGGCGCCAAGATTGTCGACAGCGTCCGCATTGATACGACGCACTTTGTCACCACCGAGGGCCGCGGCCTGGCGTGGGAGAAGGCCGTCGAGACCAACATTCCCGTCGTGCGCCCCGAGTGGGTTGAAGCGTGCGAGAAGAACGGACGCATCCTGGGTGTGACAAAGTTCTACCTCGACGCTCTTAGACCCGGACCCTCGAGCGACGAACTCCAGCAGACGCCCCAGCCGCAGCAGACACCACCGACGCAGAAGGAGCTGCCGACACCCCCGGCCGCCAGCACGCCAGAGGGCAACGGTGATGCGACCGCCACGTCGTCCGTCAAGTCCCCGGAAACCGAGAACCCCCTCAGCAAGGCGGAAGAAGAGCCGGCTCCCGGCGACGAAGAGAAGGAGGCGGAGCAGAAGCGGATTGTGGACCAAGAGGAGCAAAAGGTGCGGCTGGAGGACAAGGACGAGCAGAACCTCGCGCACCGGCCAAAGGAGGAGTCGGACGATGACAGCGAGGACGGCAAGGGAGACGAGGACAATCCGACAAAGGGGGAGAAGCCGGGCGTCTCTCCTGACGGCGCATCTTTCCAGGATGTAGCCTTGTGAGGCGGGGGTTCATCGCGTGGTTGAGGGATGAGGATGATTGGAGATGATTCGGAAGGAGTTCTTTCACAGCACGGAGTTACCCAGAGATGTCGTCGCGTCTCGTGTACAACTAGCCGTTTCTTCACGGCTTTTATAGAATCAGTTGTCATGGAATGATGACGATGCTAAATCTGCCTTTTCGTCTCCCCTTTGATATCTTGAACGATCATATCACTCCCACCTTTGAGGGTCTATATACCCATCTACGGCACCCCGTCTCCCTTTCTCCATCATACAGCAGTTATAACTCCCGTTTCTCACGGCAAAATCTCCTTACCAGCCCAATCCCAAAACCTACCCCTCCCTTCAATCCCAACTTCCTCCGTCAGAACCTTACACATCCTCTCCACCGCATACTCGGGCTCAAACAGCTTCCCCTCAGGCACCGTATCCCAGAATCCCTTTGATAACCCAGTCTTGACGGTGCCCGGATGATACGCAACAGCCATGGCCCTCTCGCCGCTCCGTGCAGCCAGCCAGAGATCGAGCGATTTCGCCAACGAAGTGACGCCCGCCTTGGAGGCGCGGTAGCTGTACCACCCGCCCTTGCGGTTATCCGCCGTGGAACCTACGCGTGCCGACATGGCTGCCCAGACGGCGTGGCCTGGAGGCAGACCTCTCGATTCAGCATCATCTGTCGATGTCGAGAACTTTACAGATTTCTTGGGGAGAAAGGGGGAAAAGTGCTTCATGAGCATCATCTGCCCCAGGGTATTCACCCGAAACGTTTCCAGGGCATCGTCATGGTCAATCTGCGAGGGACTCTTTTCAGGGTGCAGGATCCCCGGCGTAGCGAGCGCGAGGCGGAGGTGGTGCGTCGAGGAAGGGAACAAGGTCGCTGCTTCGGCGGCGGCGGCGGCGATTGTGGGTTCCGAGGTGACGTCGAGGCGGATTATCTTGAGGCGGGAGGCAAGGTCTTCTGTTTCTTTTGCGGCGGGGGAGGAGTGGGATATCTTTTGGTCGTCAGATGTTAGGGAGGACAGGATGGAGTGTTTTACGGCGGTGGTGTCGGCGGAGCGGCATGTGGCGAGGATCGGGGCGGTGGATGTGCGGAGGAGGTGGCGGGTTAGGTGGGCGCCTATGCCGCGGGAGGCGGGGGCGATGAGGATCCATGGGCGGGACATGATGTTTGCTTGTGGTGTTTGTATTTGGTGAGCTTCTGGTCGTTGGGCGTGAGAAGGTGGTGGGATGTGGTCTGTGTAGCTTCAGCTGATTGAGGATGATGTTGTGTATCTCATCCAAGTCACGATGAATAAGAATGGCCGTCCCACGTTGTAATTGGCAAGAGAATAAGAGAATAAGAGAATTGGGGGGCGGGTGATAAGCTTGATTTGGCTAGACAAGTAGTTAGCTATTACATATGATCTAAAAGAAACCAAGATTCCAGCTCTTGAATTGAGTTTCCCAGCTCCACAAAGATTCCAGGTCAAAGACATCATGACTTTTTGATACAATGGGGAAACCAGAGAAACGCTAGCCCCCCAAAGAATAATTGAAGATCGACCCCTTCCGGAAACGAGCTAACACTGCAAGGGTCCCGCCATCAAAGGTACAGACGACGTCATTGGTTGAGATTTAAAAGGGGAGATCTGGACTTCGATCTCGTCGATCTGCCTTGCCTTTACCAACTTGCCTTGGGGATGTAGGTAGCTTGGATACTTTCCATCGACAAGCTCACTTTGATAAACATCATTTGATACATCTCACGCATATTCAGGGTAAGTAATTGAAAAAAGCAAAAATAGGTCTCTTTTTTATTCTTCATCGCGGCTGGCATCAGCAGCGCAGATGTGTTCAATGCTCATGATATGGGTGTGATAAAAAGGAGAAAAGTAAAAGAAAGGAACAAACAACACTGAACTAAAACTGGCCGTGAGCTCCGGGTATACTCACTTCTCATGGTCCTCCATCCTGAGATCTTCCATCCCACAAGTGACTGCTTTCCTTGAGATAACACCGAAAACCCACCACATGCCCCCCTCCAGACAAGGGAAAATAGTCATCATCAAATAGCTAACCCATAGCTTACACCTTTCATCTCATAAAGGCTGAGAAATCCACGCCATCGGACAGCCGGCCGAGTCCCACATCCGAGCCAAAGAAAAGGCCTCATCAAACACGATGAGATAACGAGGAGAAGAAAAGAAAAATCAAGATGAGAAAAGGTAGAAGATGAGGAACAGAGCCCTGCCATCTCGCATACGGCCTCAAATCATACTATAGTAATACCCCGTATCCGGCAACGGCGTCTCCGCCCTCGGATCCGTCCGCGCCGCCTCCAGACTCACCCGCGAAGCAAGCTGCAGCTCCCGGATCAGCGGCTCCATGGCGTCCAGCCCCCCGCGCGTGATGAGCGGCTGCATCATCACCGCCCGGTGCCTGTTTCCCCGGACCGCCCTGCCGCCGCCGCCGCCGATGCTGACGCTGGTGCGAGGGGTGATCTCGTGCGAGGTCGACGGGCGCCTCTGTCTGGGGTGGATGAGGTTCACAAAGTCCCCGTCAAAGTCGTCAAAGTCTCCGCCGCCTCGAACGGCACCGCCATTCCCCCGGGTGTGGGACTCCTCGGACTGCCGCTGCCGCTGGGATGTTCTAGTGGCGGTGGTGCTGGTGGTGTTCCCGCGTATACGGCCCGTCCTTCGCACGCGGACCTCGTGTCTCGCGTCGCGGCTGATGTGCTGCTCTTCGTAGACGTAGTCGTCTCCGCCATCGTCATCAACAAGACCACCGAGGCCAACACCGCCGCCGCAGAGAGGCCAGTCGAGGGCTGTCCCCCGCGGTCCGGGACCGAACAGGGGCGACCCGGGGAGGCTGCGCAGGTCGCTCATGCAGCGCTCGAGGCGCTCGATGAAGAGCATCTGGTTCCGCTCCTGCTGGTGCATGCGCAGCTCGAGGCGTTCCTGGTTGCGGAGCATCTCGTGCGCGAGGTTGTTGACCTGAACGCTGCGGAGGTTGGCGTAGTGGTTGCGGAGTTCGCAGGCCGACATTGTGAGTAGGCTGCCGGGGTCCCGGTTTGCTGCTGCTTCGGGTTCTCCGTCTTGTGAGCGGAGGCTTTTCGAGCGTAGGGTTGCGGTTTCGTCTGCGTCGCAGTCGTCGGTTGACGTTGTCATTTCCCGTCTGCTGTCGGAGGAGTCGGTGTGTCCCTCGGCCCTGGCGGTGTTGAAGAGCACCGGGTTGGTGTTGCCCGCGGTGTGTGGGCGAGCAACGTGCGTCGGGGCCTGTCCCGGCAGCTGGCTCGTCGCGAAGGGAGGGTGCGAGACTTCGATGACCGTCACTGGCGAGTTTAGCGTTGACGCAGACCACCGCTCGTCGACTGGAAGCGAGGGAACGACCTCGGCGACGGGCATGATGGCGCTCAGACGAGGGCCGCAGCCGGGTTTGGGGAAGGCGGCGATGCTGCCCGCGATAGACTGGTTGTCGTCCGCGAGGTCGATCTTGACCTTATCGTCGGACGCGACGTAGCTGAAGCGGTTCGAGCACAGCCGGTCCGCGTCTGCTTGTGAGAGAGTGCCGGAGTCGGCGCGCGTCATGCGAGCTGGTTGCGGGACTGCGTGGCCATCGTCCATCTCCACTGCTTGGGCGACGCTCGCGTCGGACGGCGCGAAGCTTCCTATACGGTCCAAGAGCGGCACCGAGCTCGCCCAGCTGGCGCGATGAAGACTCCCCCACCGGCGAGGCGGCTCGGAGCTGAGCGTGCTGTCTCTTACGTCCCCATTCCCGAACGTGCCGGCGCCGGTATCTGTCGAGGCCCGATGGTCAGAGGCTGTGATATCCCCCAGGAACGGCGTCTTTTCCCAGTCGACTGTGGGCGTCTCCTGTGCGGTTTCCCAGCCGGGCGTCAGCTCCTCTTGCGCCGTCTCCCATCCTGGGGTCTCCGTCTCGGTATCTTGCGTGGCCTGCCAGTCTGATATTTTTGTTGAAGTACCATGTTTGTTGTGTTTTGTCGATTTCTTGTGAGACTTGGCCATATGTGCCAAGTTCGTGGCAGACAACTTTGTTTGCGGGAGGTGATCCTTGGACCCGAACGTCCCATCTCGAGAAGGGAGGCGCAGGGAGCTGATGACCGTCTCGCAGGTCCTGGGCCTTGGCGTCACCTCGCCATCCTCGTCTTGGGGTCCTTGTTTCGTGAGGGCTCGCAGCGCATCCATGTCTCTTTGCTTGAGAGACTTGACACGCTCCTTGCGACTTTGCCTCGAGGCAGCAGTCCTCGTGGAGGGATTCCTAGAAGCTAGGGACTCTCCCACCAGAGTGGTCTGCGCTGTGTCGCTGCTCCCCGGCCGGACAGAAAAGGACTGCCGGGATGGTAGAACCGGCATGTCGGCTTGCTTGATAGATGCCATTGAGTATGCTTTTGCAGATCGTGCGCTCGATATGACCGGCTCAGACAATTCTGTGGTTGCGATGCTTGGACTGATGGAGTGTGCCTCTGAAAAGGCTCCAGGGCTCAGTTGAGGGCCGTCCGACAGCACACTCTGGCGTTGGGAACCGCCGCCAAGGATGCCATCAATTGACCTCTGACTGTCCAAGACCGCATCAGCTTGCGGCCTCACGATCTTGATGCTCGACCTCCTGGGCGGCAGCACGATATTCTCGGGCCGCCTTGGTGTTGTTCTGGCTCTGGGTCTCTTGGTATCTGGGATTTGGGCCTCACCCCTAGCGAACCCGCACTCCTTCTCAAGACCGCTGAAAGAGCTTTTGGCTACATGGACGGGCTCGGCCGGCAGCTCGGCGTAATGAGGCGGCGGAGGAGGCAGCCGGTCGCGTCTAGTCTTTGACATTGACGAGCGCCCACGCAAGCTGCCCGGAGGTGTCGTGTAAGGCGTCCTGGGCGGGCTCATGGGGTTGGGGTTAATCTTGGGCCATATCGACACCGAGCCCTTGCATCCCCTCCTGGTACTCATCGTGTCGAGCGTCGAGATGGATCCCTTCTCACTAACAGTCTTGAGAACAGTGACCGTACGCTCACTAGCATAAGGCCTGACGCCGTTCCTGGTTTCCTCGTCGCTATTTCTCACCGGGGGAGTCGGGGGTAATGGTGGCGTGGCGTTGAAGATGGCGAGGGCCCAGTCAGAGTCCGGTCCTACGTGGCAGTACTCCAACGGGATGGAGATTGCGATATGCGAGTTGCCGCTGCTCGTCTTGGACGCGACGGCAGAGTTGGGAAGTCCTGCGGTCCGGGGCCGGCGGACGGGCGACTCTGACCTGGCCCGCGTGCGCGGCCGGCGCAACTTTTTGAGCAGTCCCCATCTGTCCCGCTGCTGCTCCTGGGATTCGTTGACGACGGTGGTGGCGGCGTCGTCTTCAAAGAAGGACTGTTGTGAAGGAAACTTTGGCGGCGGCGACGTGGTCCTGAAGAAGTCGATGAGATCCGCCATGCCCCCTCTGTCGCAGTTCTCCCTGGCGCTCGCGCGCACCGCACCCCATTCCGAGTCGCAATCTGCCGTATCGATCCTGCTGAGGGCTTGTGTGAAGAGGTCGTTGGACGACCGCGCCGTGCGAGGGTGGAATCCGCGTTCGCTGCCGCTGTCGAAGCTGTCAAACGTGCCGCGGCGGCCCCGGGCGAGTGCGAGGTCGAGCCGTGGCGGACCTGTATTCGATGAGACGACCATGACTCCGCTGCGTCTGTTGATTGGATTCTCTGCAAAGACCTTTTTTTTTTTTCCCCCTCGGCGGAAAGCTTCAACTGTGAAATGTGCTGCCTTGAGACCGCATGCCCGAAGCTATTCCTCCAAGAGACCAGTCAGGAAAAGGGTCCTGATGCGCAATATGTTTTGAGAGAGAGGGTCGCACAATGATGGGGCGTGTCTTGGACTAAGTAACTCGCCTGCGGCGCAGCAAACAGATCTGGCTAAGACGGGTCCTTTGGCGACACACGTCGAAGAGGTGGAATGATGGTCACGCAAAAGGCGAGGCGAGATCGAAGTAGGTACCGAGCTTTTCTGTTTGCGTCTATGGGTGACGTTTACTCATCAACCTCTGAAAAGGTAACGAATGAGGTTTGGTGTAAGAGAGAGAGAGAGAGAGAGAGAGAGAGAGAGAGAGGTTCCTGGGAAAGGTGGGAAAGAGAGATGAACAGAAACAAAACAATATCAGGCTTAGAGTTCATGGAGCAACACTTGGATCATCTCCCGCTCGCTCTCTCTTCTCTGAGAACGCCAGGACCGCGGACGGTAGGGGATCGATATATGTCCTTACCCCTTCCGGGCGACCGACCGTTGGGACGAAAGAATGCGGGAGGGGAGGCAGACGGTGGCAGACGGTGGAAGTGGGAAGCGTCAAACCATCGCGGGGAGGCGTCCGTGCAAAATGATGGGAACGAGAGCTAGCGGCCTCGAAAGCGGAACGCCATGGTCAGACTTTCTCGAGTTACCTTACCTCGTCCACAAGTCTC